CGGGAACAGTTGCCGCCCCCTCCTCCTGCCTGCAGTGGGAGCAATAGTGCCTGCTCTCTACGGTTGTGGAGCCAGCAATAGGCCTGCTCTTGCAGAGTCCAGGGCCTCAGCTTGGCCGGGAGCCCGGTCAGCTGAGCGCCAGCTGCAGTGGTGCCAAGGCTGCATCCAGGCGGCTGGTGTCTGGACCACTCTGTGCTCAGGTGCAGCCGTCCCGCTGCACCGGCTGCACCCCCGGCTCCCCAGCTGCCCCACTCAGACTTCAACGTCCCTGGTAGGTAAACCGTGGTGTCTGGCACCAGAGAAGCTATGCTCGGGACCTACACAGGTATTTCTGCAGCTAGGAGGAAACCCCTCCCCTCAATGGCGCCCGAGATCTGGGCTCTGCCCCCTGTATCCACATGCAGGAAGGCCACGAGGCTCCCATCTCCGTGCCACCATCAGGCCAAAGGGGCTGGGGCACGACGACACTGTTTTGGAACCACCCCCCCAATTGCCTGGCCTTTCCACCAGCTGTGGGGTACTCTGCCCTCCTCTCTCCTTCCAGTCATCCATTGCCCCCTCTCGCCACTCATTCCCGACTTTCTTACAAACTGTCCTAGCCCAGGCAGGCAGCTGGAACACGAGAGCTGGGGCTGGGTGACCTAAACACAACTGAGATGCATTGTTCGTGGCTCAGGAGCTGGGCAGCCCGCGATCAAGGTGCCAGGAGGTTTGGCATCCGTGAGGGCCTGCTCCAGTAGAGGCTGCCCGCCATGCATGCTCACGCGGCAGAGGGGCCAAGGCCCGCTCAGGCCTCTTTTATAACGCTGCGAATTTCATTCGCACGGTGGAGCCCGCAAGACCTCGTGATGTCCCCAAATCTCCTAAAAAGTTTTTAAAAAGCTTTTTTAAAGTTTATTTATTTGCTTGTGTATTTATTCTCATGAACAAGAGAGACAAAACCCTCTGAAGAGTCTCGTGCGGCGACCCACCCTGGTCTCAGCCAGCCGGGGCACTCACATGTTCTCAGGGTGTGTGTTCCCAGCTGCCAAGGCAGCCCGTGCTGGGGGTGTGTGTGTGTGTGTCTCGGATCTTTCCAGGAACCTTGTCCACATGGGTCCAGTTTGCTGCCACTGTCCCACCCCGACCCCTCCTACCTGACAGCACCACATTGCAGGTCACATTCCGACATGTAAAACCAGGACGTGAAGCGGCACGTGCTGACCACAGCGCCTCCCAGGGTGGAGCTTCCCGACCGACTAGACTTTGACTTCAGTGTGAACTCCAACCCACTGACAGGCTGTGAGGTGCGTCGGTCATCAGTTCATTAAGAGAAACTGATGGGCCAGCCCATGGTGTAGTGGTTAAGGCTGGGTCCCACATAGCTGACTGCAGTTCAAGGCCCAAACCCGGCGGCTTGAAAACCATGCCAGGCATGTGTGCATGCTCAAAATCCCTAGAGGGTGGAGAAATGGAGAAGGGATTGCAGTGTAACGACCCATGGCAAATTAAAAAATTTGCCAGTGAGAACCTGGCTTGATCCACTCTACTTGTTGTATGTGTGTGTGTGTGTGTGTGTGTGTGCAGGAATGGGAACAACACAGGGCAAGCCTGCACCACGGTGGACTCTTCTTTCACCAACCCAAGGAAACAGTCCAAATAGTTTACTACGGGGCAAAGCTCCGGGCTTACCGCCCAGCTGTAATAAAGCCCAGTGTGAGGGGAACTCCTGTTCTGGGGGTGGCGGTCCTAATCTATGCCTTTATTTCCCACCTTAAGGAGAAAAGGGGTTTCCAGTGTATAGAAGAAACAGAGGCACAACTTCTTCATCATTTAAATAACTTTTTTTTTTTTTTTTTTTTTTTTTTTTGCAATAGGGTCATTACGCTAGCCAGAAAGAGACAGAAATCACTCCCCGGGGGAATGGCCATGCCTCAATCCCACCTCCTCCATTCTCCTCCTGGGATTTTGGGCACACATGCCTGATGTGATTTTAAAACCACTGGGTCTGGGACTCGAACTGCTGTCAGGCCAACCAGCTGTGCCTGACTGCTGCTAGCCCTGGCTTTCCTGCAGTGGCTACCTGTGCACAGGTGAGCAGGATCAAAGCATCTCTGACCAACCAGCAGCCACCCTGACCTTACTTCTCCATCTGCCACGCTCTCCCAAGCTGCTATGGCCGCTAGCTTGGGTGGCCGGAATTATTCACGGTGCGCGGTTCCCTGGCTCCAGGCCAGGCTCTCAGGACATGCGTCAGAAAATGCCCGTGAGTGAAATTCCAGAGCAGTGTGAGTCACCAGGGGCGAGAAGGACAGGCTAACACCGAGTCACAACTAGAACCCGAGGGCAGGTCAGAGAAGGGCCTAGGGGCTGGGCCAGGCTCCGAATGCTCACCTGTCCAAGATGGAAATGGAGTTCCCGCCCACATGGCTCATCTGAGCTCTGCACAGCCCTGGACAGGAAGGAGCCAAGCAGGAGGCCGGCCCCTGGTCACACCCCTGGATACCGTAACCACGGCCCTCACCTGGCTCCCCATAGGCTGGGCTTCGGGTCGCAGCCCTTAAAACCCCCGTGTTGTTTCCTAACACCTTCTCTCCTGCTGACCTGGCCCAAGACGCTGCTTCTGGACGGGGGATGTGACAGGCCAGCCTGACCCCAGAGCAGAGACAGCAGGTAAGTCTCCGACCCTGGGCCCCTGCTCTGTGCACGGGCCTATGAAGTCTCCAAGCCCGACTGCCCACCTGTCCTGGTCTGGCCATTCCCAGCAGTCTGTACAACCGGCAGGTCCCAAGTGAGGTCTCTTGTCAAGGAGAGACATGTGAGGACAGGGCAAAGGCTGGGTGGGCCTGGCAGGTTCTTACCCCACAAGGGGCAGTGGCCCCCTCCACTGCAGCAGGAGCCTGTTGCAGCCAGACCCAGGGCAGGGTGAAGGGCCCCGCTGTCACAGAAGCGTCAAGAGGACTGTCTGCAGTCGCCCTGTGCCAGTGGCAGATAGATCGGACCCCTCCTTATATACTTCGCCAGGAAGGAAGGCCGGCGGGTGGGGGGCGTCGAGCAGAGGACACCCCTCACCCCTCAACAGCCCACTCTT